CTATCATTTCTTCTCTGTTTGTAAGAATTAAGTCCAGTATGGCTGTCCCTCTAGTTTCACCCTCTACCTTTTGGACAACAAAGTTGTCAGCTAGGTTGGTTAGGAACTTATTTGATTTCTCACTTGGTGCAGAATTAGTTTTCTAATTGATATCAGGATAATTGAAGTCTCCCATTACTATTGTTGTGTGTTTCCTGCATATGTTTGTTAGTTGGCTGGCAAAAAGGACATCTATTTTTTTGCTTGATTGGGTGGCCTATAATATACACCTATGGCCATGTCATTCTTTTTTTCTTTTATATTGACCCATTCTAGGAGGTATTCATCTTTGGTTTCATGCATTTCTGTAGCAATATAGTGGTCCTTTACATACAGTGCAACTCCATCTCCTCTTTTATGGGGTCTGGTTTTTTTGAATAGTTTGTATCCTTCTACCAGTATGTTCCAGTCATGGGTTTCATCCCACCAAGTTTCTGTTATTCCAACTATATCATATTTACCTTCATGTATTCGTAGTTCGGGTTCACCCTGTTTGTTTCCCAGACTTTGTGCATTTGTATATAGGCACCTGAGATCTTTATGTCTGACACTGTGTTTACTGTCTAGATAACCTGTGTTGTGCCTGCCTGGCCCCACTTTCTTGCCACCTGCTTGATTAGTGCACATGGTATGGCACTCACTATTAAATGCTTGGTTTTGGTTAGCATCAAAGTTGATAATCTTATCTGCACAAACATCTATTTTGCATGCAGTGATATCCTTATTAGTTTTAGGTTGCTGGGGACAGAAATGTTCCAAATCCATTAATTCTCTGTCCCTGTTGTTCAGTTTAAATGTTTATCCAGGAAATCTGTGAAAGTGAAAGTTGAAAGTGTAACTATGACTATGTATAAATCTGGAATCACATTGCTCATGTGAAGAGATGTGTAAAAAATAAAAATAAAATTTTTTTTGGAGGGAAAACAATTGAGGCCAGTTTTTTATTTGCTTGCCCCTAATAGACAGACTCTTGCCACACTAAAGCTATCACCTTTTAACCTAATAGATATACCCTGGGGGATTGGAGTGTGTGGCTACCTTGAACCTTTTCCTCCCCACCCCATCCAGTTCAGGACTACACAGTTCTTTTTCTTGGCTCCTTTCTGAAACGTGTTGCTTTCTCCCTGGGAAACCATGATGTTACTGCTGACACACACCCTCCATCCCATTCAGCTGCACATTTCATCACAAACACCCATTTCATTACCATTGTGATGAACTCTCAGTGATCTCTTGAAGATCAGTTCAGATTGATCCAATTGGGGTTAAGTCTTTATCCCCCAACTATCTCTCTTAGGTACCATTGAAAGTAGATTACAGTAGGACTTCTGGTTTGAGCTTCTTCGGCGACGGACTGAAATCCGTGATCGTGTGTGGTTTTGATTCGTGCTTGCCACCGGAGCGCCCCGAGCTGGCTGAATTCAGGGCAAAAGCCACCCCATAGAGGTGGTAAAGAGGGGGGAGACCACCGCCAGGGTCGAGGAGAGCCGCATCTCTCCTCCTCAGCTGGCCATTACTCTCTTTCCTGAAGGCGGTTACAGAGGTGGTCAGAAATGGCCACCTCAAAGAAGAACTCGACCGGAAAAGATTGTGCAGGAGGAAGATAAGAAGAGAAAGCTTTGACTGACTAGGTTGAACTGAAAAAGCAACAACATAAGGTACCCTGGAATTTGAATTATAAAGAATAACTTGTTCCCAAAGAAGATTTTTGAAGCGGCGAAGGAGAGAGGGAAGGGGAAAGATTTGGGTTTTTTTTCTTTCCTTCCCCATATTGACAGCTAAGAGACAAGTAAGAAATTGATAAAAATTCACTTTAACAATAATAGGCATTTAAGCTGAAAATAAAAAGTCAAAGTGATAATAAAGATTTCTGGATTCTCAAAAACTTTTAAAAGAAGGAAAGAAGAGAAAAGGAAAAAAATAAAAGGGTGTAATGTGGAAAAATGGAGGAGACCACGTGGAAGTAAAAGGAATTAACAGTGAAACTTTAACAAGATTCCTAAAAGATACATTCTAATTGAAACTTTGTAACAAGATAAATAGAGCCCCAGGAAGAGAAAGTGGAAAAAACAAGCAGGAAGAAACAGCTTTGGATTATTTGGATTATTTGGTGATTTTTGGATTTTTGGTTATTGGATTTAAATGACTAAAATCAACCGGGTGGTTGTTTAAAAGTGCTTAAAATTGTTTCCGGTTTGAGCTTCTTTGGCGACAGACCAAAATCCGTGATCGTGTGCAGTTTTGATCTGTGCTCACTGCTGGAATGCCCCGAGCTGGCTGATTTCGGGGCTAAGTCACCCCGTAGAGGTGGTGAAGAGGGGGGAGACCACCAGCAGGGTCGAGGAGAGTCGCATCTCTCCTCCCCAGCTGGCCATTACTCCCTTTCCCGAAGATGGTTGCAGTGGTGGTCAGAAATGGCCACCTCAAAGAAGAACTCGACCAGAAAAGAATGTGCAGGAGGAAGATAAGAAGAGAAAGTTTTGGCTGACTGGGTCAAACTGAAAAAGCAACAATATAAGGTACCCTGGAATTTGAATTATAAAGAATAACATTGCTCCCAAAGAAGACTTTGAAGCGGCGAATGAGAGAGGGAAGGGAAAGGATTTGGTTTTTTTTTCTTTTCTTCCCTATATTGACAACTAAGAGATTTAAGCAAGAAACTGGCAAAAATCCACTTTGACATTAACAGGTATTTAAGCTGAAAATAAAATGTCAAGGGGATAATAAAGATTTCTGGATTCTCAAAATCTTTTAAAAGAAGGAAAAAAACAAAAGGGTGGAATCTGGAAAAATGGAGCAGACCACCTGGAAATGAAAGGAATTAACAGTGAAACTTTAACAAGATTCCTAAAAGATACATTTTAACTGAAACTTTGTAACAAGATAATAAAACCCCAGGAAGAGAAAATGGAAAAAAGAAGCAAGAAGAAACAGCTTTGGATTATTTGGATTACTTGGTGATTTTTGGATTTTTGGCTATCAGATCTAAAGGACTAAAATTAATCGGGTGGTTGTTTAAAAGTTTTTGAAATGGTATCCCTCTTGGAAGAATTGAGAATGGAACTTAAAAAAACAGAAAGAAGATGCACAAGAAGGAAGAGGTTCTTTTGGCTTTGTATTTCAATTTTTAGAAATGGAGATCCTAAACTATGAGAAACAACAAAAAATGCCTGTAGAACAAGAAGGGCGGGAAAAAGAAGAAGCCATCTTCAATGTCCAAATATTTCTATGTGGGGAAAAGAAAGGAAAGGGGGGAAAGAGAGTGAAAAAATTAAGATTTGAACAAACAACCCCAAAAAAGAATAGTTTGAAAAGTAATTACAATATTAGGAAGAAACAGAAGAGATGATTACAGAATAGAGAATCAAAATTAGAGAGAGAGGGGGTCAAAAAGGGAAGGGAGAAGAAGAGGGAGAAGAGGGAAAGGAAAAGAAATGATAAAGGACAGAAACAGGACATAGAGAAACAGGGAAAACATATGAAGATTAAGGGTATAAGCCTATTTAGAAGACACAGAGATAATGGGTGAAAATTTAATTGAAAAGGGGATTCTGCAAGGGTACATAAGATAGTATTGTTATATTAGAAATAGAAATGAACCTTGAAAATATGAAACAAGTGTGATTAAAATGATAGACAAAATGCTCATTGTAATGTAGTGGAATGTTTAATAAATAAATGAAATAAAGAGAATGAGAGAATGGAATGAGGAAAGGAGGGGAACATTTTAATTATCATTAATGTGTTATAAACGTTTAAGTGAAGAGGAATATGAAAGAAATATGAAAAAAATATGGAAATATTATAAGTGTTTCTAGAATTATGATATCCTATTGAAAAGAAATGTTAAAGATAACTAACATTAATGTTAGAGCTGAATTGGAATAGAATATGTATTTTATTTATTATTGTTATATATATACTTTTTTTTTAAGAACTTAGTACATATTTTAAGAATGTACCAAGCAGAATTCGACTGGAAGTTATGTGTTATATTGAATGTTATAATTGTAAAGGCATAAATTGAAGTTTAAATAAGAGTTGAAGGGATAAAAATTAAAAGATGTAAAGGTGTCATACTCCAATCAGTAACTTCAGGGGAAAATTTTGTTTAATGAGAAAAGAAAATATGAAATTGAAATAGGACAGACAAAAATACAGTATAAATATAATGATTTGAAAGATATCAAAACTTAGAAAAAGATATATAATTGAATTTAGAAAGGAATGAGATAATTAAAAACAAAGTTAAACTAAGAGAAGGGAAAAATTACTGAAAAAATGTTAAAATAGTAATAAGATATGGAATAGAATACAAAGATGAATATGAAATTGAGTTTGTGTCTCTATGGAGAAGTGATAACCTGGGATCATGCTATTTCTCAAAAAAAAATAAAAATATTTGTGTTATGTTTTGTGAAAACCCAAATAATTTTTTTTTTACAAAAGTAGATTACAGTAGCTGATCCACTTGCATAGGATCAGGAAAGAATAAAAGGGACTTTTGCGATTATCTAATCAAATTCATACTCATTGCTAAAAATTACTGCAAGATCCCTGACAGCTTGCTATATAGCTTCTATTTAGTGAAGGAGAATCAAGATAGTTGATAGTTGACTATTCAAGATAGTTTGTCTTATTATTGATGTTGTTATTAATATTTAATTGAAATCTTCTAATTCAAGCCCATTTCTCCTCATACGGTCTTCTGGAGCAATACTAAAATATTTTGTGTAATATTCTATTTGACAGTTCTTTAGATTCTGGAATATTGATAATACATCTTCTCACGGACTTCTCTCTTTCATATTAAATAAACCCAATGACTCCAATCATTCCTCCTGTTTTTCTGTCTAGGCCTCTATTGACTTTGATTGTTCTCTTTTGGACATGCTCCAGTTTGTCAATGTCTTTCCTGAAATGTGATGCTTAGAACTTGATAAAAACACAGAATAGGCCAGTCCTAGATGGAGTCCCACTTTTTAAGTGCCACCTCAGTAAAAATTCTGACCTTCTGTAATGGATGAACCACCTTAATTTCCTATTATCTCTGTAAGAAACTGTATTATTGCTAAAAGACAACCACAATATTGATTTACTACTTCCAAGGATATTATGGGCACATGGATGATAAATATGGTACATGGCCACAGTCGTTTTAATACTTTCTACCCTCATGCAATCTTTCCTCACAGATGCTTTTATGTCTGTCTGCTGTGCCTCATGATGTCTGCCTACCTCAGGATATATAATTTAAAATGTTATATCTAATATACTAAGAAACTAACTTTATGAACCCATAAAATAGTAAAGCTGCATCAGATTTGAAATCGCTCATATGAGATTGGTGAGAAAGAAAAAGTAAATGACAGTGAAAAGTAAGAAGGTGACTGGCATGGTTTTGGTAAGAATTTTGACCAGGAATAAAAATCTATCCTTTAACAAAAAGTTTTTGCACTTATTTAGGTGGTCAGTTATGAAATCAATCAAGATTTCACTGGTTTCTCATACAGTGTGCTGGAAGATGGTTTCTCATACAATATTCTGGAAGATGGGAGATAGCTACTTTAGTCACTGGGCAAAAAAGAACTAAGTTCTTACAGCACATGTTAGTTACTGTATGGACTAGATTTGAACTGAAAGTTTGGAACTGGGCTAGTTGGAAGGCAGAAGGCTATAACTCATTTAGTCTTACATTTAATCTGGATAAGAATGTTAGCAAGCAAAGTTTTTACTTTAATTCAACTCTAGTTTCTCTGACTTGAAAATCTCATATCCATAATAAAAGATTTGAATTAGAAACCTGAAGTCAATCAAAGAGCTTTCACATGGGTGCTGTCTCCACAGCTGGCTGCTCTGTATAATGTTTCTGACTATCAGAAGAAGAGCTGACTCAGATATGTTCATACTGCTTCAGAATAAAGTATTATTCTTATTGTATATTTTTTGAATAAGTTTGAATTTGTGTAGAATAAGAAATTGAAATGTGGGTCTTACAAAATCAATTTGTAGGCAATTAAGCTTGGAGATATCTCACATCCTGTTTCTTCAAGAAAAAAAAAGGTGGGTATATGCTTTTTACTCATACTCAGATGCTATCTTCATTAGTCTGATGTAATAAAGCCCAGATTCTAGAATGGTAATTTAAAATGAAGATAGATTTTTATGGCCCAGATGTATTTTAGCAAAAGAATGGGATATCAAATATACAATTTATGATTTTGTAAAAACATTTGTTCCTCCAAAGTGTATCAGTCAAAGTTGTTAATGTCCTCTGTTTGACAATCGCATAGTCATATGTAACTGTTTCTCGAAGCAAACCTTTGGAAATGACACCGTATTGTTGTCATGAGGCATTCTGTCTTAATTTAGAAGAAAGCCTAATGCTGTTTGTTGTATTACATTCATTTCATTTATATCTTCCCTTTTGACTTTAATTAGCATTTAAGCAGATCAACAAAGTTTTAGAAGCAAAAGTTAACTAGATTTCATTGTGCTGAACCCAATTCCTGATGATTAAATGGACAATTCTCAGCATCTTGACTTGTTTCTAATAATAAATTGTAACTTTCCAAGAACAACAGATTTTTTTTAAATTTCAACTACCTACCTTGTCATTGTCTTTGCCTTGTTTTTCTTCCCTCAGTCTTGCTAATTATAATCTTTTCTAGGCCATTATTTGCTTGCCTTTCATGTCCTAAAATTATGTTAGCATCTGCTTGCTGATCACTGCCTTGAGGGAACAGTCTGTCTTTATTTTATCCAAGACCAATGGATTGGTTTTTCTTGTAGTCCATGGTGTTCTTAGGAACCATCTCCATAATTCATGGGTATCTATCTTCTTTCTTTCACTCTTAATCAATGTTCAGCTTTCAGCTTGTACATTAAAGCATTTCACTATTCTCATCTTCTTGTCATAGCAACATTCTTCACAGTTTGTTATTCCCTTCCTCCTAAAGATTAATTTCTTCTTAATTACTCCAGCACATTGCTCATTTTTATCTAAGAAAATAAAACTGTCTACAATGCTACCTTCAGTTCATTGCCATCTACTGCAAATCCAATAAACATGTTTATTAATGTTATCTTTGTCTTCTTGATATGTAACGTTAAGCTAGATTTTTCACTTTTACTTTAATCCTGAACTAAGTTGCCTGTACTTTTGGCTGACAAAAGTGACATTATCTGCATATTTTAAATTATAAACATTCAATCCTCTCATTTTTGATTCCAGCTGTCATCTCGTCAGTTCTTGACATTTTTATATTATATATATAGAAAATGTGATGACAGTATGCTTCCTTGTTGGACTATGATCTCCTATTCTGAACTACCATTTTTCCAGACCCAATTATTACTCTTGTTTCTTGTTCATTGTTCCTTTGAAAAATATATTGCAATTAACAATCATTCATTTAGCAACCATTCAAAATTACAATGGCATCAAAGAAAATGACTTACAATCAGTCCTTGAACCTACGATCCACAGTTACATGACCAGAATTTGGGCATGGGGATAAGCATGGAGCACAACTCACTTAACAACTGCCTTGCTTAGCAATGGAAATCCTGATCCCAATTGTGATCATAAGTCAAGGACTACCTGTAATCAAGACTTCTGGCATATTTATTAGTCTAAATACATTCTACTCTATCATGCTCTAAACTGATTGTTGTTTATAAACTGCCCAAGTCATTTAGGTGAGATGGGTGGTGTAGAAATTTATCAAGCAGATAACAGATAAATAACAGATAATCAGAGTTGGAAGGGACCTTGTAGGTCATCTAGTCCAACCCCCCACCCAAGTGGGAGACCCTACACCATTCCCGACGAATGGCAGTCCAATCTCTTCCTGAAGGTCTCAAGTGATGGCGCTCCCACAACTTCCGAGGACAAGCTGTTCCATTGGTTGATTGTTCTCACTGTCAGAAAGTTTCTCCTTATTTCCAGGTTAAATCTCTCCTTGTTCAGTTTCCATCCATTATTCCTTGTCTGTCCTACAGGCGACAACAAGCAAGCAAAGGCCTTATTGCATTTAGAAAGCAAAAGTAAAAAAAATATCTTTTCCCCCTTTTTCTTGTGTGCCTTGAATTTCCCTTTAGTATCCAACTTCTTAAATCAGAAAGTCTCGAATTTTGAAATTCCTACAAGAATTGCCTACAAGAGACACCTATTAAAAAAAAAAGACATGATTGATAAAAATCCGAGTGAAGAACTTATTTCAACAAGAACAAAGAAAGAATAAAAGAGATGGAGTTGTTTTGTATACTAAACCCCCTTTAAAACCAAAATTTGTACTGAATGGTAGTTTTCATGGGGTGGAAATTAATTTGCTTGGCACTAAGACTTTGGTACTAAAAATTTACTCCTCAAATGAGCATAAAGCATTGTTATAGAGACACTAATAGGCTTTTCCTATGAAAATGGTTGTTTGGTGGGGGATTGAAATGGAGTAATCTCTCCATAACTGGATAGAACTTCCGAGAAAAAAAACATTAAAGTCACTCAAGGTAAATTACTAAATGTTGTTTTTGATTGACTGACAATTTAGGCTGGTTGATATATGAAGGCAGAAAAATAGCAATTCAAGTGTATATTTATTTTTCAGAAAGGCACAGATCCTTTCCAAGAATAGATATGATTTGGATTTTAAAGAACTTGGCTACTAAAGTTTCTAAAGAAGAGATACTAGCAAATACTTTTTTGGATTATAATCCTGTAACTTTGGTTTAAAAAGAAAATCTAGTTGTTTTAGATGGAAACTGAATAAAATATTGTTCAAAATATACAATAGTGGAGGATTATTTTTTTAAAAAAAGTATTGAATACAATTTAGGTGAAGGTACTGATTTACAAATGGTTTGGGATGGAAGTAAAGTTTCTATCAGAGTTTATTTTCTATAGCATGATTTTAAAAGAAATCCCCAGTGAAGATCAATAATTGTCAACAGATTACGTTATTAAAATAAAAGTTTTCTAAGTTATCTGTTAAAGTAAGAAAATTAAAAGAAAAAATGAATTATGTAAAGTGAAAAAACCTGAATTCGCAAACAAACCAAGAAAGTGGTTGCCATATAAATTATGAAAAGAAAAAAATGATACTGAAATTATAAGAGGGTAATATTAAATATTAACTAGAAATTTGGCCAAACAAATTTTCCAAGGTTTTAAGAGGAACAGAGAAAAAATTTGAACAAACGTATAACAATAAGGAAACTTTCTGAAATTATAAAAAAAATATTAAACAAGGAAAGGTACCTGGACTAGTGGGATTATCTGGTTTTTATTTTAATTATAAATGTTTCGATGATGAACTTTTACAACCTCTACAAAACATGATGAATTCAATCTACAGGGATGAAAGTGGCCAGAAAGTAGGAAAGAGGCCAATACTGTATAGTATTAATACCTAGCATTATTATTAGAACAAGCAAAAGACTATGCATTCAAATCTACAAACATGGTTTATAATGATATGATAAATGGTTTTTAAGACTGCTGAAAGATTAAGAAGTGCTGTTTCAGCCTCTGAAGCTACAGCACAACCATCTTTGCAACAACCTTCATTACAAAAGGAAGATTTGAGACAGAATAAAATTTTTCCAAAATTCTAAAGTTCTAATAATGGTGTCTTGAGGAGTGGGGAAACTACTACTTAAGCATTGGCAGGACTACCGGCTATGACAGGAAGCATTCACCATTGCCAGAACCCAACCACAAGATTCAAAGATGGGAAGCCTTGATTAATGAAGGAGGGGCGTGGATTAAACCCACAAGTGGCCAGGTTGATAGTTCTAAGAATCCTATCTACTTTCTCAGGAGTAACAAGATCAAACTCAGCCCAGACAACAGTAATAAGCTGGACTTCATGTCTTTCATATGGTTGCTTCCTTGAAAGCCAGTTGGTACATATACATACCTACAGCCATACCGATGATAACATCAGTGTCCCCATAGAGTAAGTTAGGCTGAGAGAGTATGGTTGATCCAAAGTCAACTAATCTATTCTATAGCTGAGGAAAGACTAGAACCTGGATTTCTCTGGTGCCAGTATAACACTATAACCACTATACACTTATTTAAAAATCAGAGCCATTGGGGTGAAGACATATATTGCTCTCTGCCATTTCCAAAATCTGCTTTTTTTATCTTGGTGTTTTTAAAAAAATTATTTTGTTGGCACATCATCTATCTGTTGCCTTCATCTTTGTAAAAGTGGCAAATACCTCAAGGTCATTCAGTCTACTAAAAATATAGAGAAGAATTTTTCTGGCTGCCACTTCTTAGTTAAATCTGCATTATGTTATCATTTAATGCAGCACTGTATCATCTAGCCTTAGTGGATTTTAAAAGTAAATATTAAAATTACACTGGAAGCTTTTCTATGGAACAAGATGCAATTATGGATTTCTTTTTATGTTTCATTGCCTGCCTTCTTACAAATCATAACTTTCCAAAATATTTATGTGAGGTCTGAATACATGCAGTGCATCACAAATCAGAGGCCAGGCTTTGCCCAACAGCAGGAGTGAGCATTCTGTTCCACTTGGCTGGCTGGCTAGCTGCAAGAGCTATCACTGTGGCAGATGTAAGAGTCAGCCCCAGGGCGTCCTCTGAGCCTCCATTTATTCTCTGTTGTCTTTCTCATTCTTTGGTACATGCTACTTTGTAGCACTGGCTGTATGAGTATTTGAGAGTCATAGTCTGCTTGTATCTCCATTTGTGGTGGCTGATGTTTTATCAAGTCAATGTTGATTCTCAGCAATCACAAAATGGATTTTTTCCATGATGATCTGCCCCTAACCTGGCCTTTTAAGTCTTCTAGCAATGTACATTTCACCACTGTAACTGAGTGGTGTATCTATTTTGTTGGTGTTGAAGATCTATTTATTGTCTTCTCTTTCTTCCATCTTTCCCAGTGTTAAGAGCTTTTTCCTGGTTGTTCCATAATGTGTCCGAAGTAGGATAGTTTTAATCCTGCCTTTTCTGGACAAAGTGCTTAAATGAGGATGATACTGAACCAACTGCTGTAACCAGAATAATCCAGGTTGGTTGTGAGATGGAATCAATTACAATTTTCTCGATGATTAATGTCTAGCAGGAAAGAAATAGAAAGTGTACTAATGTGTTTTGCTTTTGTATGGCTTTTGATATTTATAATCTTGGATTTGCTCTGTTTAGTGGAGATTAGGGAAACAGATTCCATCATGATTCTACTGAAATTATAGGTTGGGATCTATATGACATGATAACAGTAAAGGACTGTAAGGTGATTTCCTAGCAACCTTACTATAAAAGACAAAGTACAAAAGTACCGTTCTGTTTTCGGTGCTATTTAGCAGTCACTAGGTGATCTGTGTCATTTCCAGAATGCTGATGACATTCAGCTTTGTTTTTCTGTGACATGACATTTGAATCAGGAAAGGCTATGCATGACCCAGGCTCATCGGTAGACTGGATGACCAGCAAGTTAAAGCTATAAAAAACAGGATTTTCTTTGGGTGAATGATTCTCAAGTTTGGTAATGTGAAGAATAATAATTGTGTGGGATCTCATTCCTGAAGAGATAGGTTCACAGTTTGGGGGTGCTCCTAGTGACTTTGTGTTATTAGAGATCAATAATGTGCTTTGAGAAATTTTACCAGAGTTCTGTCTTTTTTTTCTTTTCCAAAACTTTTTTATAGCGATAAAGATGCAGTGATGATGAAAAATCTCCTTAGCAAATAGTTGTATTTGAATATTTTTGTGAAAATTATCCTAGGATCATATCTAGTTCAAGTTTAGAAATGAAAATTATTTCTGTGAATATGAGTTTCTATTAGTAGTTTAAATGAGTATGATAATTAAGTTAATTTTAGACATTGTGGTTTATGGCCAGTAACTTCAATAATGATTATTGTAACAATCGCTGCCTTAAATCTAATCAGAATACAGTATGTAAATAATAAAGAATGTTGCAGCTTGGTTACTGACCAATTGACGGATTATCCCTACAAAGCATATGTGAGATGAATAGTAAAAAAAAAATGTGTTGGCTGGGAATCCATTACGCTACTTCATGCAACTATTCAAAGTCCTAAATAACTCAGGGCATGTTACTTTAATTAATCTTTGGAATCTTTTTAATTGGCTTTTTATAGTCACAGTTATAAAACATGGTTAAATATTGTTATTTTATTGTTTTTTAGTCTTGTTTGAAATATAATAAAATGCACTTAAATGATCTATAAATATAAAGAGTTTTCCATAGTAGCTAGGTTCTAAAGCACTGGAAGACAAATTATTTTTAAGTATTAACCCAGTGTTTCTCAACTTAGCAACAATAAGGTGTGTGGACTTCAATTCCCAGAATTCCTCAGCCAGCATTGTATTATTTTCTTGTGAATGGCAGAAGATCTTAAGATTTCCTTAAGAGGGGTGTTAAACTGGCGGCCTGCGGGCCGAATGCATCATGGGCTGGCCATACCCACACTGGCTCCGCAAAGGCCAAAAACATTGCAATACATCACGTGACACGATTGAGTTTGACAAACGTGCCTTAAGACCTTAGAGGGAGGTCTTTATTATGGTCTCAGGCATGCTTAGTGGAGAGTTGAGACATGGCTATTTCCTTTTCCATGCCTTTGTATACACACACACACACACACACACAGAGAGAGAGAGAGAGAGAGAGAGAGAGAGAGAGAGAGAGAGAGAGAG